TTATATTTTCCAAACGTGTATGTTTACATCAGGTTGAAAACAAGTTTTATGTCCAGTGTTGTTGATGTCATGATGTTATAGTGCACTCACACAGAGACGTTGTTGCTTTGTCATTAATAGACTAAGTAAGACGTTTGTTCCTGTGGCAGAAAGAAGATGTTCAAACTGTAAAGTTCAAACTGTTCTGATAATGCAGGGACAACGCTGTGACTTGTGAAGTGTCTGTGTAACCGGTGTGTTCCTGCGTTATGTCTGACAATGAAAGGTAAAAGAAACAAAGACCTCCAAGTCATTAACTTGCCCACCCCAGCCCCTGCAACCAAATGGAAACAGTAGGGAAGAGGGTTATTCAAGTCACCACAACTTCCAAGCTAGCAAGAATTATCTGTTCATGCTATTAACTGTGTCTATAACACATATGTGGCACACACGTACCACACATTTACAGTATCTACCAAAGAGAGGCACAATGATGGCAATATCTGAACTAAAAACACAATCAGAAACATCAGGGTGGCTAAATATACAGTATATGTGTGTTGTACAATATTGGGAAAGAAATGACACCAATTTCTCCCACAGGGGAATTGTAGAAAAGGGGAAAGGCCAAAGGGGTACCGCGTATTTATAGGGTTGCACCAAAGAAGAAGAAGAAGGATGAGAAATGAGAGAAAACTGGAAGATTAGATTGTAATCTGTGATTATTCACTCTGAATCCTTCCTAGACACTACAATCGCTCATCCAGCATTGTAATGTGTATCCAACTGAACTGAGGTTTGGGAATGTGAAAAGGGTTACAGTTTTTTTTAATTGGTTTGGTACTATTTTCACAACTAAAGTGTGCATTTTCAAATCTCTCAGTACAAAACTCACATTTGATCACATTTGTAACACCACTAGTCATTCTTTCAAATCTGATGTCATGAGTTCATTGTATTTGCACAAATTTTCATTCCACTTAATCATTGTTGCAGAACATATGATCATTGTGATATATTCTGAGAACATTTGCTTTACTCACCCAAACAAAACAGTAAGATCTTTTTTCAACGTAGTACTTTTACCAATCATTTCATTCAGGAGCAAATAATACAAGGTAAGCGTTTCAAATTGTCCTTGGTGATGAATGAGTGTAACTGAACTGTAAAACTTTACACAGCAAATATTACACTTATGTTCAGGCATAACCAAAAAAAAAACAAACAACACATACATATATATATAATATATACATATATATATATATAATATATACATATATACACACACATATACACATATACACACACGAAAAAGGGAGAAAAAACAACAAGTCATTTACATAAGCACAATATATTTTTTATTTTATTTTTATCACTTTTACACAATTAATCAAGCCGGTTATTAACATTGGGCCATCATCAACATCACAATGCATGTCTTCGTTGTTCAGGCACCGTGGGAAAAATCTCCTGGCATGACGAATCCAGGCTTGACATTGCTCAGCAGTTATATCACCACAAGCTTCACACATGGCTTGAAGAAGGGAGACATGCTCATGGGGATGGCGATCATACACCTTCCACCTCCATGTAGAGAAGAATTCCTCAATTGGGTTGAGGAAAGGGGAATATGGTGGAAGATAGAGTGTCATGAAGCGAGGATGTGTTTGAAACCATTCCTGAACCAGCTGTGCATGGTGGAAGCTGACATTGTCCCACACAACAACATAGACAATGTCTTCTCCCTGACAGGCCTGCTCCAGTTCATTTAAAAAAAAAAACTATCAGGTGTTCAGTGTTGTATGACCCTAGAACTGGTCTACAGCCTACCACACCATCTTCAGATATAGCTGCACCCATTGAGATGTTTCCTCCACGTTGTCCAGGGACTTGGATGGTAGCCCTTTGTCCAATAAGGTTACGTCCTCTGCGTCTAGTTTTTGCCAGATTGAAACCGGCCTCATCAACAAAAATATACTTGTGATGATTCACAGCAGTGTCCAGCTCCATCACCCTCTAAAATGATAATTTAGTTAGTTTTTTTTACAAATAATAGTTGTCAGTACTGTTACAGTAATTGCATGCCAGTTTAGTGTTGTACCTGAATATATTCTGAACACAGTTGTTTCACCCAGACATTGTTCCTCTCAAAAGGAACCAAGTAAATTTGTTTCATGGAAACCTGGTGCTTCTTCAAAAGCCGGGTAATTGTTGGAAGGCTAATTGATGGCACATTGGCAAAGGTGTCATTGTTGTTCTCAATAGCCTGTTTGATTTCAGACAGCCGTATGTCATTCCTTGCCCTGACCATTTCCACCACAGCCAACTCCTGCTGGTCAGTCAAAACACGTGGGCGACCACCATCAGGTTGTCTCCTGTTAATTCTGAGGACAATCATATACTGTCAATATTGAAGTATTACAAATTACATTACTGTAAACTGACAATTACATGTTGTTCATCTATACAATAGAGTACTATATTTTAGAAGTGAAGTTGCTATAGCAGACATACCAGTTTTCTTGGCGAAACGTTCTGATGATAGAGCTGAAAGTTGACCTTTGTAAATTAGGCTGTACCAACCTGGCAGCCTCAGCCATGGTAAAGCCTCTGTTAACCACATGGTCAACAATGATGGCCCGGACTTCATTAGAGATGATGGTGCGTTGTCTTCTGCCAACATTTCTCTGAAGACCACCTCTCTGTCGAGGAGCACCACCACCTCTTGCTCTTGCAGCAATGTGTAACTTACAAATGACCAGACAACAATCAGTCAAGTTGAAAATCCATGGACATAATGAAGGATTCATTGATTAAACATTAAGATCAGTTGAATTAAATGATAGACAAATGTATTAAACTGAATAATAAGAGGTGCAAATCAAAAATTTGATAGTGATAACATTATGAAAGGCAGTAACTGTGAACAAAACATTTATTTAGATGAAACACTTATTTTGTGTAGTGAAAAGGATATTTTGTCATTATGTGTATTATACTGACACAATTGGAAATATGCTGAAATGTTTGAAAAACGTGCACTTTTGATGATCTGTTGTGACATAAGTACTAAGAGTTTTGAAAATGTACCAATTGCTTGTGAAAACTGCGCCAAACCAATAAAAAAAACTGTAATTGCATATGCAAACAGCATATGCCATTAATATTAATTGCAAGGCACTGCTGTCATTCTGATCGAGAGCTGAGCCCCTCTACGTTTGAACCTAGAATCGCCTCTGTATAGTATGTAAAACAGATGTTCGTAAGCCATGTTAGGCTTTATTCGTTTTTGAAATCAAACTTGTTTTTCCTCCTTTTAGACGTCATATTACTTTCTAAATATTTGTTTAGCGGAATGGATCAAAAGCCGTCAAGTCACACCTTCTCTTCTTGACTTTATTGCTGAAAAACCCCGCCTTTCTGGCACCTGAGTCGACGATTAAAACAACACAGATAAGCCTTTAGGTTTATTCCTCGTAATTCCACTTATAAAATTCCCTTTAATTCCACGACACACAGACTCTTAACTCCAGCACGTTTTGTTTTTCTTACTGTACCACCGGCTATCACTGCAACTTTCACTTAATTGATAGCTTTTTCATCTGAACGTTTACTCGATGCATTCATTACCGAACCCACAATTATTCTCGTTGTTTGAAGTGAAGTCATAAGCAAATACTGCCACCGTGTGGTAAAACCAAAATTTGCTGATATGGACCAGAGCACCAGTTTGCAATCTTTAGGAATTATTTTGAGCATCCTTGGTCATCAGTAACTAATGGGGGGCAATTTAGCAAAATACCAAACTTCCCCCCTTATTAGATCCAATCCAACAGCAGAAACTACCGTTTATTATGTTTCTTTATATGTCGGAAATATAAAGAAAGAAAAGTGACTGTCACACACTGGTCACCACTCAGTGCACCAGCTCACATGAAAATGATGGTTAAGAGGTTACAGGTGAAAGGTTCCGTGCACAGGTTGGGTCAACAACAACTTCAGCTGTTTTAAGTAGGCCTATTACCTGAGGGTTACAACCCACATGAACCCCCCTTTTCTTTTCCTGATGCATGCAGGGGAAAACAATTTTCTCTGCTTTTCATTTTGGAAACATATTCCTTCTTTCTGAGAGAAGTGAGACTGAAAGGAGACTATATTCTTCTGACTTGTGAAAACTTGCTTGGTGGGCATTTTAGTTAGAAGTTGTCCAAGACTAAACGGAAATTTGCAATACCGTGAAAAAGGTATTTCGTCTGTGAAGGTTCTCAGTCATCCACGTCGTCATATATTTCACATCGAGTCGATAAACATATTTTCAGAGATGGGTGTGGTCCCAGAACTTACAAGCACACTTGGCTAGTGTCGGCAAATGACAACGTGGTGTCTAGTCTATTGACCTATGCAGGGACATGTGCAAAATTCACTGCTCAATAAACGGCGGTGGTTTTCTTTTTTTCTTCTTTTTTTTTGGCTACACGGAGCATGCGCAGACTGCAATGACGCGGTCTATTTAAACTACTGGTCCCCAGCCCAGTGTTTAGCTCCAGTACCAGGTTCGTGTGGCGTTTTCATCGTCCACAAAAAGTCCAGTCATGTTGGACAGATGCGTTTTTAAGACAGTGGTGTTTTTCCATTGCTTCTGTGATTCTTCTCTGTTTCTCATCCTCGAGTGAGCTAAAACTGGAGTTTCCTGTCCTGGAGTCTTCATGGCAGACTGATTCTTCCCGCAGGGTTTTAGTCTTTGCTGGTTCACTTACCAAACTTACAGTAAGTATGTGCACTTTGTATGCTTCCTTAGCCTGCAAATTTCCAGTTGCTGTACTGTTGAGCACGTTTATCTCTTGGCAGGTAATTTTGTTTCGCGTGTGCAGCTGTACAGAACTGAATCTGTGTGCTTTTGAAGTAAAGTTTTATTTAAGCTATTTTATTACAAAGGATATGCTTCTGTGTCTTACACAAATAAACAAGAAACAGAGAAATCACTGAACACTTCTTCAAAACAAGATGACTCAGGGACGATGAGAATAGAGATGCTGTTTATTTCAGTGTTGAGGAAAGATACTGAGTATTTAAACGACTTGAATATGTGAAGTCACCAAGCATCCCTTATGCTTTGTGCTCAGAAATCTTTGGTATGCAAGTGATGGTGATTAGATGAAAGCCAGCTGTTTGTTACCCAGCTGTTTGTTAGCCAGCTGTTTTACTGGTTTTGGCCTTTTGCAGCATCAAACATTTTCTTGCGGCCCTCCATGCCTGACATGGCCTCCACATTCTTCCTCCAGTCACTCACCTCCACTGTCTTCTCCTGCAGCACACACAGAATACATATGAGAGATATGATTTTTCACAGTTTGCCACTCATACTTGGCGAGAACATCAGCAGAAGACCTGATGTGCACATCTTGTGCACAAGGGGAGTAAATGATTATCTGTATTAATTTCTTTTTTTTGCCCAAAGCATCTCCTGTCAGTAGCTGTGTCTGTATATTTTACTTTTCTTTCTCATGACTTCACCTTTTCTGTGTCCTCCTTTTTGACGGATTTTAGGTTAGCTCGCAGATCCAAAGAGACCTTGTGTTTAGAGCCCAGTAGGGAGCGCAGGATGGCATCAGCAGAGACCCTCACCCTTCTCAGGTTAGGTCTCTTGAACTTCCCTCGCAAGTCCAATACCTTGATGTTCAGGTCTTTGATCTAGAGGTGATAATTTGACATAAACCCCTTACCTTTTATCTGAAGCCAAAATAAGATATTATAAAGTGACATACAGATATATATGTATCTATTTGATGTTGATATATACATTTATTTTAGTTTTTTTTTTTTATTTTTTATTTTAGTTTTGCTACAGTTGTGTTTTTTACCTCTCTGGTGTTATGCAAGACCTTGGCTTCAATATCATAGCGCTCCTCGTCCACCACATCTATTCTGGTATGCAGCTCCTCACATAATATCTGCAAAGTTAGATCATTTCCCCGTAATGTCCTGAGATGAATAGCTGAGTTCTTGACAGTGTAATTTCTGTAACCACACGTAACTTTAGTCTGTGGGTGGCAACAAAATGATGATGAATGTTAAATGGTACCCGTAGCTCTGCTAAGGAGAGGCCACCGGTCCGTATTGGAGGAGCTTTTTCCTCCAGAAACTTTGCCTTTTGCTCGTCTTTTTCTACAATCTCCTGCTCCAGTTCCTCCTTGGCCTTGGCTACCATCAAGCTCTGAAACACGATACACCAAGTAAATGTAATTATTTGATCGATCCTTCTGAGTGAGATATTATTGTGTGCCAAATGCTGCAGATTACTCACCTTCAGCATGAGCTTGCGAGAGGCTGAGATTTTAGATTTCCTCTGCAAAAAGCACAGTTTCTTTAATCATATTGTGGCATTTTATTAGTCTACAGTAATGCTGATTGAAGTGGCTGTTTTTGAAGCATTAGTAAGTGTAAATATATTTAGTTCAGTCTTACCTCTGGTCTGTTGGTTGAAACAGAAGGCCAACATTAGTGCTTTATTATTGATGACAGGAAATTCAATTCATTGTAATTCTTGACTGCTCCTGCCATGTTTAAATTATATTTCTACGGAAATTCTATTTACTGTTTGTAAATGATCCTCTCAATCGGCAATTAAAATAATAATAGAAACTCAATATACTTACGCTTTCTCAGGCATCTTGACTATTCAATTCCCCCTGGAAGACAAAAATAAAACCTTTTGTTTTTGAAGTGCTTGACAGTGGGAACCACTGAAAGACACAATGGGTGAGTCAATGGTATAGTGTTAAAAGACTTACTGGTAAAGTATACATTAGAGATATCCCAAGGCCTGTTATACCAGATTCTTTACGACAAGTGAGGTCGGTTATTCATGAAATTGATAACGGATGACAAAACTTTACTTTATCTAGCAATGTTTTTTTTATTTTATTAAATTTATCAGACATTGTTACTTTGTGCTCATTGAGCCTCCTGGATAAAATCATCTAGTTGCCTCTCAGTGCTGATAACAATGAAAGGGAAGTGATGGCAGACATGGAAAAGCATGCCAGGCCCTCGACATGGCAGCCACTCCTGATAGCATTTATTTCCCACTTTCCCCCTCACTGCTTTGTAGCATCAAGACACAAATATAGACTGGCTCTATAAATCTTAGAACATCCCAGACTTAAACTGCATGACTGATGTTCACCAAGTTATATGACACATATATTCTTTTTTTCTCCATCGATGGTGTAACATATTGTGTTACAGTACTTTGTTGTTTTAATTTATAGCCATGCAGATATTTAGCTTATAGCCACATTAGACAAAACAAGCAGACACCCTTCATAATTTATTGTCTTGAAGTAAGCAGTTTGGCCTTTTCTTGCTTAAGGGAGTGAACTGAATCTAGTTGCGGATTACAGGTTTCTATTGAGCTACTGAACAGTGTTAGCAGATCAACAACTGGGAGTGCTTTGTTGTAATGCTTTAAAAAGAGCAATACATTTCCTGCTATTCAGGTTATTTACTGTTTGACATATTTGTTATTTTTATGGTTTATGAAAAACAATTTTAAATTCTTGCACAAGAAAAGAACTATCATGATTTGCTTTTCTTCCTGTAGGTAATTGAACTTTAAATCTTTGAATGTCAGACTACTGATCAAACTCAACCAAAAAAAGGAGTTGTCACCTTCGGTTCAGGTAACCTGTAATACATGTCGTTTTGTTTTGTTTTTTTGTTTTTTTAAATTATTATTACTTTTTGCTATTTGCTGAAATAGACCAAAGTATTATCTGGAAAAAAAATATTATTTGATCTTTTCTTAAATACCAGCAGTTTATATATTGGTAATAAAATTATATATTGAAAATTAATATATTACAAAGTGAAAAAGAACAGGGAAAACTACACTGGCTAGTATTCTGTGTAGCAGGAAGACTATGCCATTACCTTTCTTTGCTGATGTTGTGGATGCAGACAAAGACGAAGTGATGGAGAGAAGAACAGTGAAACATTTATCTCCAGCTCCCTTTTGGCCCTCCTCTCTATCACAATAAGACTTAAATAGAAAAACACACACACACCATAAGAGGGGGTGGTCTCAAGATAATCGTGCCTGTGCTGCTTGTGTTGTGTTGACAGATCACCGCTTTTCTATTCTTCATAATAATATGTGTGAACTTTAATGTGTGGCAAAGTGGCATAAACAACATCATTCTGAATAAATTTTTCATCTTTAGTCTGTTTTTACAAAAGTAAATTATTTAAAATTCTAGGCGGGATCAGTTATTGTTTTCTTCTGATATTTGGTCAGAGTTTTGTGTATACCTCCTCATCACCTCAGTTAAATCAACTATAAAGCAGCCTACAGTCTGTCTTGTTAGTACAGATGATTTTCTGAGGTTTTCTGTGGCTGTTGAAAGAGATACTGGAGACTTGCCATGTCCCCTTTGAGACTGAAGGGCCCCATTGGTCTGATTAGGATAATGGCTGCAGACAACATTAAGCCCTTGGTTTTAAGACAGGAATGCAGTTTCCAGTGTTCATTTGGCCACGGCCTCACAACTAAACATAGACAAATTGCAACACCGTGTGATGCTGCCACTCTTTGATACTGGGTCTCGGTCTGCAATTGTGTGCATGCTTTGCATTTGGGGGTTTGTGTGCTCCAAGCAAAATAAAAACACAGATGAATATGGCTGTCTTTGTGAACACACATTTGTTTGCTCAGTTCACACTCACAAGGACAGTAAGTCCTTAAAGTAATCCATGAAATTATTTGTGTCTGGGCGATGTTTGTGTTACCGACATACTCTCCACTTAGTACAACAAACATGAAAGTCCAGTTTGAAAGTCTGTTAGGCTATTATGTACATGACTAAGTCCTAATTTGATACAGCAGCTTTGATCTAGAGTTCACACAGAGAGCCGGATATAACCATCCACAGAGCCTAAAACATGTGGCTGTAAATTTGCTAAAGCCTAGATCTGCTGGATAACGGGCACCACCTGTTGGTCGCATGTGACCAGAAGTGGGGCACTATATTGTTTCCATATATGCTGTCAATATCAGAAACTGCAGCAGCCAGAAAGGATAGAGGGTGGTTGCCATGAGTTTGCAGTATAGTCAGTCAAATGGCTACGCGCCTGTCCAGTGGACATCCTGACTGCTGGAACACAAACAGTTATTTGACAAAGTAACTATGTTGAAGCTCTGTCAAGTATGGGACACAAACAGTCATCTTTAATCAGAAGACTCTTAAATTGATGGTTGTATTTGTTTGATGTGTTGCTTTTATAAAGGGGCAGATCAAAAGGCAAGACTGGGACTTGGGACAGCCCAGGCCTGTCACCCAGTGATGACTGAAAGCTGGGAAAACATTTAGTTTTTCAAAACTATAGCAAGAGTACAATGTGTTTGTACTCTTTCAGTTATAATTCAAGCTGTGTCTTATTATTATTTATTTATTATTTTTGAAGCAAGGATGTGAAATGGACTATGCAGGAAATAATCTTTTGCTCTCACTAAGTCAGGACTCAATCCCTGCATCTGATTTGAGTTGCCCTCCTAGCTCATGGCAGCTGATTCTGATTCCACAGCATATATGGCAGAATCGGCAGTCCTGTGAGTGTTTGTAGCACTGTTTCCAGGAAGCAGGAAGGATAAATACAGATGAAAAGGGATTATGTGGTGTACATTGCACTAGTCTCTGGGTGTTTTCTGGGTTGTTTTTGTTTTTTTGTTTTTTTTTTCTAAGACAAAAAACTTTAAAATGTCAACCGAATGATTCAGGTTTTATTACTGTGTATGTGGATAAACTGCCAGTACTTGTTCTGTAAAGTCTGATATGACATAGAACTGAGTGCCCTGTCACTGAGTGGTCACATGATGGCATATTCCCTTCTTTGCTCTTGGATTTTTAATGTGATATGGTAGTGTATAACAAGTACACCAACATTACGTCAATATATGGAGAAATTTAAAGATGGACCTATTGATAATTGAAAAATGCATCTTATTGTGATGGAGTGCTACTCTGTTGCTTTCTACAGAAACTGGCGATCTGTGGGGTTTTCCTATTTAACACAAACTGCTGCACCATTAAAATCACAGACGAGGGATGTGTGATTGATAATGCTGTCGATTCAAAAAGCTTGAGTACTGACTCTTATCTGTATGTTACCACCCACATAAACATTGTTCCAAAATGGCACAAATCCCTACAGCAATGGCACTCCCAAACAACACACAACAAAACACTGGTTTTAAGAAACAGGACTGCAACTGCCACCAGACTGCCAAGAAAGAATGAAGGAGAGAATAAGTTCAGTCCATAGCAGACACCACAGGAAACCCTCAGCTGCAACTGGATCGCCTACACAATATTAGCCATAACATTCTGGTGACTAGTGCATATTTATGTAAGCATATCAACAAAATGAAAGAGTTGCGCTTTTCCCTGTAACACTTGATGTTTGCGTGACTTTCTGCTGTAGTTTTGTTGCCGATGTGACTCGCACATCTGTGGTGGTGGTACAAATACCACCACCACAGCTGCATAGCGCTTTGGCCAGTGTGCCAACTCCTCGGTGCAGCCAGAGATGGGGCTGAATACTATGGCTCTGTTGTTCACCACAACAACTGGCATGTTGTTAAGTTAGATAATCATTTAGAAAGATTGTCAAGCACACTTGAGATCACATAAACATGCATGCTGATTTAATCAGATCTGAGTAGCAGATAAAAAAACAACAATGAAAAACTTTGCACTACGACAAGTAAGGAAAACTTTCAAACTTACTGTTTGCTTTTGCCATTAAATTTATTTTGTGTTAGAGCAAGAAATGCCTTTCTTAAGATATTAATTATAACATTCGGCAGTAAGAAAAGCTTCAGCACCAATGTAACTGAGGCATGATTTAAGACTGTTTTCTCACAGTTGTCAGTGTATAATTTCTTCTTTTGTTCTTGTTGTCTATTATTTTTAGATGTTATTTAAATTTAGCACTCGATAAGCCAAGTTGCTTTTGTGTACATGTTCTAGTGCTGTTTAAGCCAAATTGTTAACTACTCAGTGAGTGCACACGAATTAGATGTCAGTGTAACATTTGTAGATGTGTTTGCTACACTTATGTCAATGTAGCAAATGTAATCAGGTAAATAGAATGCAATGATTTGCAAATCTCAAACTCACATTTTATTCACAACAGAAAATAAAAAACATAGCAAATGTGTAAACTGAGAAAATGTACAAATTTAAAATAAAATGTGGTCATTTTGAATCTGACAGCAAAAACATGTCACAGCCTTGTCCCAAGCAAGTTGTGACAGGGCCGTGTTTACCACGGTGTACCAACTCGTCTTCCTTTAACGGTCCATACAAGTCTGGAACTTGTTTCTGTAACCTCTGTATTTGCACTTCTTTGGATAATAGAGGTTTAACCTGCATTTGTGGATGACACAGTGAACTGTGTTGAGAGACGATGGTTTCTAGAGGTGTTCCTGAGTACATGCAGGCAATATCTATGACCGTTATGTTTTTAATGTCGTCCCGATGAGTTTACTGATGATCACATGATTCCAGTACTGATTTTCATTTTTGTCCCTTGGACACAGATTTCTTCAGATTCTCTCAATCTTTTGATGATGGTATATTACTTTCTGGTAAAATTTCAGAATGCTGATCATCAATTTGTGGATGCAGTGTTTTCCAGATTGTTGAATTTCTGTTCCTACTGCTTTGTGTTTTTTAGTCTTACGTTTGCACTTCCTTTGCTGTCGTGATCCCAAATTATTTGAACGATGCTGCTGCCAGCAAATTCAAAATGAAAAAGTAAAATACCTCATTTTAAGCATGTAATGCCTTTTCTGTGTTCCATTGTGAATAAAATATAGATTTATGAGATTTGCAAATCACTTCTGTCCATCTTTATTTATAACACGTACACATCCCAACTTTTTTTGGACTTGGGGTTGTATACACTGGAGTCTAATGCAACATCAAGTAAGGAGCAGACTTTGCTTGGTGAATATTTTCAAAGAGCTGCTGATGTGTGCTTCTTTCATTTTTCATTGCCTGTAGCTAAAGTGAAAGGGCAAAGTGAAATAAGCTTCATGTTGACTGAGAGATCCCAGAAGCTGTGATATCGGAGCCCACCAGATGTCAGTCCCAGGTGAGCTAAGGCTTCAGGCTTTACTGGGAATGAGCAAGAGCGCCTGCACCCTGACCAAAGCCAAAACCCTTTGGACCAAAGTTCTTTGCATAGCAACCTGTAAAGGAAATTAAAATGAATGAGAAATCCTGTGCATAATTTGTATATAGAATATAGAACTAATGCTGGAATTATGAGCTTGATAAGGATATCAACATTTAAGCATATAAAATATTAACTATATACTGGGAAATTATAATTTTATTGCTGTTTGTCAAGGGTTTACTACGAATGCACTTAGAAGTTTTTTTTAGAACTGAGAAAGGCCTATAGTGGACCATTTTGCAATGCATAAACGTGTTAGTGCTTTCTGATGGAAGACGGAAGGAATGTGTGGGAAAACATATTCTTAATTGTCTACTGAAATGTTCCTGTTATTAATGAATATCGCACAAAGTGTTGGATTGGCCTCATTGATCATTGAATATTGGATTGGCCTTACAGTCGTAAAATCAATTAGGCCTGTCATTAGACTTGGTGTTAATTAAAAAAAATGAATGCATAAATTTAATGAAATCTTGGTCAATGTGTCAGAGCTGCTGCCATTTGGGCATCTGTCTCAAGTAATTTGGCAGTGGACATGCAGTTCAACTCAAACATACCAGAGATATCATAGTGATTTTCAATGTTATTTTGTCTTTTTACTCAGTTGAGTGACTTTGAACAGACAGATGGGAAGTGTTTAATATGCTTTATTATTTTGTCAGTTATAAACGGACATGTCAGTTTATGTCTTTATTTGGTAATTAAAATATGGTAATATAATATAAATGTACTATACACTTATTACACAAGAAAAAATGGCATTTTCTATATTTAATCAGTTTGAACCCGGGGATATTTTTGTCTTTTAGATAATACTTTTATACACAAACCTTTACAGTAGATCTCCCCATCTCTATCAGCAAGGGTTGTGGACTCCAGTCCTTTTCCACATTTGGCACAGCGAAAACAGCTCTTATGCCATGACTGAAGAGACATGGAAGAAATGTTTTAAATCGTCATCTACTTTTATTTTGAAACAAGACTGCACATTGAGACTGCAGCTTTTCTCTTTCTTACATTGCCTCCCCCAATAACCTTCTCTGCTGCATACACTGTTTTCCCACAGCGTGGACACACATCTGAGCCTCCTGCTTTCTGGGCAAACTTGGAGGAGTTGGGGTTATTTGTGGGGCGATGAGGAGCTTGCCTGCCATTAGAAGAGAAAGAGGGGGGGGGGAAAGCTTTTCATATGGAATTAAGAAAAAAAAAAAATCAATGTATTTCTTTCCTCGTACTCATCTGTCATTTAAGCTTTAAATACAGAACCTGAAGAGGTTTGGTGTGTTTTATTATATCATGTGGTAAATCAAACATACATAAAATATTAGTCTTTGTTTTGATTATAGAGTTCTTTGTTATATATCTGAATGTTTCAGCAGTTAAAGAAAGGAGGAAGTTGTTTTTCTCACACTTCAGGCTTGATTCCAAGACCCTCTCCTGTATCCATACTCAGCGTGCCAGCTCCACCTCCGTAGCCATAGCCTTTTGGCCCATATTTCTTGCCATAGCAGGATTTGCAGTAGATCTCATCCACATGAACAGCCACAGTTGTGCTGTCCAAGTTTTTCTTACACACCACTTAAAACAGAGATAAAGGGAGAAAAACAAATATACACATAGTTTTCTTTCGTTAGTTCTCAAGCATCTACAGCACGAGCTTATCTTTCAAAAGCAGTCACCCACCACAAGCCGCCATTTTTTTTAAAAACAGATGTTTAGCTGTGGCATACCCACAAAGTCTGTGTGACAGAAGGGAATGGTGTACACCACAGTGGCAGTCTCAGATAAATACTGCTCAGTGTTTGAGACTGAGTGTGTGTACCTTCCTTCGCCATAAAAGGAAGCCCAAGTATTTGTCACATGTTTGCAGTGGATCCAAATAAGGACTGAGATGTCTTAGTGAAAAGCTGTGGATGCTCACTTTACTCCTGTGATGCCAAATACTCTGCATTCCCGCCGGGCACTTCTTATGATTTAAAGAAGTTGTTGATCAAATGATTCGGATTACCTTAAGTTCTCAATACTTACTGCACAGAAAACAGGATTTATGCCAGCTCTTTCCCTCACACTGCACTTCCTCAGCAAAGTAGACAGGTTTCTGGCAGCAGCCACACTTATTTCCTCCCCCTAAAGGCATTCTGCAAACACACAGGAGAGCTGCTTATGTATATTTCTCATCCATTGTATATATAATGTTCAGATCATTCTTGGTCAGTAGACAGAGGCCTTCTGCAGCACTTGAGGCTAGATACAACAATTCCTATAAAAGGAGAAGCACCAGTTTTCTCTGATATATTGCTCTTTCTTCTGTTTTCCAGTTTAAGCCTGCTGGGTTGAGTGGATAACAGAAGGGCTGTTCAGACCTTATTGTAAAATGCAAAGTATCTTGCATTTTTTAGATAGCACTAAACCAGCTTACTCAGATAAAATGACGTGAGGCTCTGTATAAACACCACATCAATATCGCTCTGGGTTTCAAAAATTCAAAGCATTTTAATGGCAAACACACTATGTGACATTTCAGATATGCCTGGCTCGTGCTATCATACACAGAGAAATCAAATAATCTACTTTTAATTTGTTTTGTAGTCACAACAGCATTGTTAACAACTTTTGATGATCCAACATTGTTTTTTTTTATGTATAGTTAATTATTTCTAATCACACATAAAATTGTCTCAAAAAATGAAAGTTTGTTTGAAGGTATTTTTAGATATTAAACAGCAGTTATTTCTTATTGGATGCCAGTGCTACTGATGCTCAGGAAAAGCCTCTTGACTATTTCTAAATTGTATGTCTACAGTGCTTCTTTTACGTTATTATATTTACTCCCAATTTAAAAAAACAAAAACAAAAAACCCCCAAACATTTCAATTTCAAGTAAAACTTCCATCGTGCATTTATTGCTTGCACAAAGTAAAGACAAATTTGTGCTGCAGCGTGAAATTGTATGATTAAGTGCTGAGATATAAAAAATTATTCAGATTTATCTTACCCGTAACAAGTCAAAGCGACGCTCCTCTCAGTGGGTGTTTGATGAAACAGTGAGACAGCTGAGCTGAGAAGAGACACTTGTTAGCAGAGAAACAGAGGGAGGCCCATGTTGAAGTGAGGGAGGAGCTGTGACAAAAAGACACGGAGGGAGAGAGATGCAGGGAGGAAGAGGAGGAGGAAGATAATGAGTAGTTATCGAGAGATGGGAGAGAGAAGGAATGAAGATTCACTGTCGTGGCATGTGTTTTATATTGTGTTCTTGAATCAAATTACTAAATGTCTGCAACTTGTAAGTTTGCACACTCGTTGTCCCAAGTGGTAAGAAGAGGTAAAAGGTTGAATTTTGAGAGCTTTGAGAATTGAAAACTGATGTAAATATTAGATAAACATCATTTAATGACTTATTTTTAAACACACACACACATGGTCAAAGCAACAGAGAGACGGGGCTTATATTGTTTGCACATGTGCAGAGGAGGAATAGTAGGTATTATGGGTAAAGGATGTTGAATATGGAGCTGCCAGGCAAGAGAGAATGATTAAGACCTCATAGAAGGATGAATGTGGTGATGGAGGAAATGCAGAGGGGTGGTGTGACAGAAGATGGTCCTGAGGATAGAGTGAGATGGAAGCAGATGAGCTGTTGTTGACCCCTAAAGGGAGCACCTGAAAGAAGAACAAGAGGAAGAAAGGCAGGGCAATGGAAATGCTTTTATTTTTCAAACAATGTATTTCGAAGTACGTTACATAAGCAAAGAAAATCATTAGAATATAAAAAGACTGAATAAAATTCTGAGAAAACTAAGCAAGATATAAAGTACATCCTCCACAAGTCCCAGTGACAAAAAATATGTTTTAGGTTTACCTTCTTTGTAACCATAGAAGTAAGATTGCACTAGAGAAACCAACAATTAAATGGCACAAAAGAGCAGCAGAACTTTTCATTTAGCTGTGTGATTTGGCAGGAATAAAGAAACCCATTAGAAATATTTATGAACCTTTTTTTTTTTTTTTTTTTTTAAATAAAAAAAATGAAATCCATTTGTCTGCCATGTTGTAGCTGAGAGCAGCTTTAATTGTTTTGGTTCTGACTTTAGATGAGAGCATTACTATTATTCTTCAGGGAGAAAGTCATTTGTGTTTGTTTAAATGGGAAATGTGCACATCCCAGTTTTTGTAGTGCTTGCACACATTCCTTCTTTCAGATAAGCATGAATAAAGGATAAGGTTTGTACTGTTTCCTTACAAGGTGTTTTACTAAAGAGATGCAACGTTCGTTTTCCTTCAGTAATTTCTTCAAAGACATCATTGAGTTTAAGTGATTGATGCAACTTTGTGGGCAGTAGTTTAGATATTTCTCTCGAGTTGCATTTAGTTCACATGTACACTATATGGACAAAAGTACTGGGCCACTGACACATTACACCTACAGGAGCTCCTTGGCCATGAAGCTACTGGTGCACAGTTTTTGTGCTGATGTTAATGCCAGAGGAGGTTTAGAATTCTGCTGTTGAGTCAGCAGAGCGTTGGAGACTTTTATGCACTATGCGTCTCAGAACTTGGAATCCCCACTTTGCTGTGGTTCCTAAATGCTCCCACAATAATAACGCTTACAGTTTGTTGTTTGTTGAAATATAAAATTTCATAAAAGCAACAGACATTATGTGAAAAAGAACTGAAGCTAAACATGTCTGTACGTCTATTAAGGCAGACTAGCAGCTTTGCTTATTGTGACATGTGCATTTACCTGCTTCTGCTTTAAGAACAATTGCCGACATTTTGCTGCTGATCTTGTGCACTATGACATTCAACAATTGTAGAAGGCATTCCCCTTCTTGGTGGAAAAAAAAAAAATGCACGCATGACCTTTCAGACGGAAGAGATTGATGCATGGTATGATATAAATCATCCCACTGTTCAGTAAATCATAACACAGAGTCACAGTTTCTTGTATTTTGGATTATTTTTCATTCATTCGTTTATTTGTAAACATGATTGATGCTAGGTTCAGATATCTCCCTATGAAAGAGACAGATAAGGAGAAGTGAAACCGATATGGAGATTACAGCCGATGCAAGGAGAGAAGTAAAAGCCAGCAGATAGTGATGCTGTGCCTTTCTCCCTCCCTCTAAGCCCTCCAGGCTCTTCACCATCATACGAAGAGACAATGATGAACTCAAGAAGCCTATTTATAGCCTGCCATTGGCTAACACTAGCCCTCTGTTTCTGCTCTGTGGACATCCGCCTTGGCTAGTTGTAGAGTATGTGTACATGTGATTAGGCTCATGACAGAGAGGGAAACAAGAGGAAGAGAGGGGTGGAGTGACAGCTACTCAATGGATTAATCCAGAGGAAGAGCACAGACTGAGAGGGAAAGCATGATAAGAGGCAGTGACGGAGCTGGGCTGTGGTCCATCCATCAGTGTGTGGAGGAGCAGTGATTGCTCTTGAAGTCTCATGGAGGAATTTGGTCCTATTTTAAAAACAAAACAAAACACCTGACTTAAATCCAGCACTTCTTTGCTAATGATCTTGCTTTTGGCAACATTTCTTGGAGAAGCTTTGCCAGTTATCAGGTGAGGAGGAAGAGGTGAGCTGACTTCACACTGAGAATGTGTTTGTGTTGTGTTGGTGTGTTTGGCTGGATACACAGCAGTGTTTCGTATTCAACTGATTGATATTCATAGTTTGGTTCATGTTGTCATGTGTTACTTCTGCCAAAACAACTTCATGTAGCCTAATTTTTTCCAATTTTTCACTGGTTGTTTTTGTGTTTGTTTTCATTTCACTACTTAAGATTAAACTGTTTAGTTGAGGAATCTATAAAAGTAATCTGTCATTTTAGAAGCAAAATGCCCCAAATTTACACAGCTGAGCTTCTCTAATGAGAGTACTTTCTGGTTTTATTTCACCTTATATCTTTAGTTTAAACAAGCGCTTTAATATGTTACCTTCACCTTTATAAATTTTTATGGCAAGTTTTTACTTTTTGCTGACCTTTTCCACACCATTTAATCAAACAGAGAAAAAGGAAAAAGACATTAAAAAAAGAAAAGGAAATAATAAACAATATTGTTTAGTAATTTTCTGATTAACTTCCTTAAATATTGCATTTAAGGATCAGACTGATGCACAAGTCATTGGTTGCACTAGGCGCCCTTTTCGGCACATTGAAAAGTGTATTGAATTTGAACTTTTTAGCAGTAAACCTGTTCTCCCTCCATTCTGAATCTCTATTATTTTGTGTGAGAAAGCAAAAATAGCTTTTCAAACACAAGTAACCAAAAGTGTTTGCAATGTTTTGTCTAATGTCATTAGAGCAGATTAGGATGGAAAAATATAACCGTGATTTGTTCAGCAAAAACCTTGGATGCATTTAGGGTGGGGTGGGAATGAGATAATTGTGTTTAGAGGGATTTTTGGCAGGATTTCAGCACTGAACAATTCTCTCTGATTCAGGGAGCAGCAGTTTGATGTTTTACTGAATCCATTGCAAAGTCCTGCTTTGCAGCACGCACTGTGGCCATAATGAGAGGCGTAGAGATGTAGCTACACGAATTAGCCAGCAGAGGTCACATATGGGCAGAGCTTATGTTTGAGACACACCCGTTTTTCTGTCTGTGTTATATGTGCTGTGTGCTGATGCAAAAGGTGACAAGGCTTATTATCTGACGCAGCACATGCAAGCATCAGAGTGTGAAGTGCACAGTTAATAAGACGATGAAGGACTTTTTTTTATCATTGCAGTTCACTTGAGATGTTTGTACCTGCTTGTAATACTACTGATTGTTTATCTTGCCACCTTTAATTAAGCTGTGACTATGTTCAGCCCTGTGCGAGGGATCTTATAATGTAGATAGTAATTTGCATCTCTCAAGGTCAGACAGCAAACGTGTGGAGTATCTGTGCAGCGTGAGGATTAATTACAGTTTTCTGAAAATTTCTGCGTCCAGCCAGTGCACATCTTTGACTGTAATCCTCACTTATCTCCTGTTTAAGACTCAGACACAGAGGACATAGGGGTCTAATTTCTAAACTGCCACAGTCTATAATCTCCCCTTGTGAACTTAAGTCATCCTGCAGAGCGATTTAACTTCAAGGGCAGGCAATTTTCTCAAATGTGCGAGAATTATGGCGTACCCCACCATCAAATCACTCATTGCCCTCTGTCTTCACACCCGTTTGAAGTGTGTAGTTTCATTGCTTTCAGCACAGGTTAATTTTAGTTATATTCCACTACATGTCCTTAGCCTGCACATATTCAACCTTGTAAGCTGATCATATGACTCGCTTTCTAATATTTGGTTGTACCACACAGAGAGGGGTGTCTTAGTCACAGTTTGTAATCCCAGCCTTAAATATTATGAGGAAAAAAATGTGTGAACCCATGCTGTCACCATATCATCGCTCCTCCTGTCATTCTTTTTTTTTCCTGAGCTGACACCTCTGAGCCGGCTTCCTTTGGCCCAGATTCTCAGTAGGGGTCGTGCTGCCTGTGCCCCGTAGGCAGCCAACTACAAACATGCATTGACAATTCAAATTAGTGCAGTTCACTGGCTCTAGCTGTGACTCAGGACATTGAGCGCCAGGCAGAAAAGATGCATACGCAACCCGCCAAGCTATGCAGTGACAGAAAGCGCCAGAGATTACTAAGTGCAGAATATGAGGCTGTTTTATGAGTGTTTCACCAGGTATATGACCCAGTTTAAGCTCAGCACTTTTGTTCAGAAAGACTTGGACTGGAACGGTGCCAGGTCCATTTGCAAGTCAGAGAGAGATTGCCTGGTAGCTAAGTAGTCCCATCCACAGGCACCAGCAGCAGCTGAGGATGTGTCTAGAGTATTGTTATGCAAGCGGGAAGAGAGCAGTCCCACTTTGATCCAGGCATCGGACAGAGGCTGAGATGCTTCAGAGCTGGAAGCTGCTTCTTTGGTGTTCTGGGTATTTGCATACCGGACAGTAGACTTCCACAGGACTTTGAGCACATGGGCTGCAACGAGGATGGACTGATGGAGGTCTGGAGATATTGCTCATCACTCAGCATCCACATGTTCTGAGCTTGTTAGCATTTCATTAAGTTTTGTCAGCGTCAATTATAGGTAAGTTTGGGTTTCTTGCTTAATAAATAGAGAAAACAATGTCCGTTTAATAATCCGTTATAATAAAAATAGACTAGCAAGAAATATGCTACCTGTTAAATTATTTTGAATTAAACTGGACTTGAAATCATTTCGTTAATACTAGCTTTTTATTTCCTGTTCTCTCTAAACATCTCAGTTGAATGATTCTACTACCATAAGTGCATTTTGATGTAGTATTTGTTGAGCATGCGAGGAATCGGCACACACAGTCCTTTAACAGCAGTGTCCTGTGGAGAGATTTCTATCATGTGTATGACAAAAAAGAAAAAGAGCCTGAGGGGAATAGGACACAGTCAAACAGCTCAACTAATTCCTGCAAAGATTTTTATTGTCCGTGCCTTGTACAGGGAGTCATATGCCTAGCAAATGTCTGGGATATACTGCTGACTCATAACTGTTTGTGCTGGAGGCTACTTCTGCGTCAGGCTCATCCATATCACTGCTAATCTACTAAGTTTACACTGAGCTCCAGTAGCCTGTGATTATTCGTGATTTGGTTTTTGATGTCCTCATCAAAGACTGAATCAATATGAGCTCTTGTTTCAGTGCTGGAAGACAAGACTTCCTTTGAAATTTAAAGAGTTTTAGTTTTAAGGAGGAAAAAATGATGAAATATATCATTTTATCAAGTCCGTGTGCTAATATGTTGTGTGATTTTAATGGCTGCTTCAATGCCAATAGGCCTAGATTCAGCAGAGTATTTAGCAGCCCAAAATTCAAGATATTTCTTTGAGAGGCTGATATAAATTCAAATATTGGGTTTATTGCACTGAGCTCATTGAGTTCTTTTCATTGACCAGTAATCCAACTGAAAGAAAATATCTTTATAACTGTTTACAGCTTTTCATCTCCAAATGGCCAAAACTCAGCTACAGTTTCAATGGCAGATTAAAACAAAAACAAGCAAACAAACAACTTCTCAGATGTTTAATGGTTTCCCAAATGATATAGAAAAACTCCTCCACAATGCAGTGGAAAACAAAGAAATTCCTGGAGACTCTGTGAGGTGGTTGTGTAAGCTACATGCTGCACTCATCATGCTAACGTACTGTGTGCATGCTGGCACTTCCACTATGCTGATGTTTAGAAGGTAAGCTTCAGTATCTTAGTGTAAAGTGTTAGATTGCTAACATTATGGGAATAACATTAGTTGGGCAAGAATACGATGAGGATTATGAATCCTGAAATTACTGGGAGTCAAACTGCTGTCTGGTAAGAATGTGCCTATCTGTGTAACATCAATGTGATGTTTAGAGGGATAAAAAAAACCAAGAAAAAAATCTGACAAAGCATGCTCTATCAGCACTTTTTTTTTTCTTTCAATGTGGTACTTGGTAGTGCTTTTCCGCAGACACATGCTGGTCTGTACTAAACAGAACTGAAGTGCCATTCAACGTGAGCATGCACTAATGCATACAGTGCAAACCATAAAGTAATTCAATTCTACAAAGGGAGTCCATACATGGGGCTTGGCATAACACTATAACACTAATGGTGGGTGATGTCATTCTAAATAAAACAGATCTAACATGTATGCAACGTGAACTTAACTAATTTCAGAGTTGCTGGATTATCATGACACAACACAGAAACAGTCGAACAGTCGTCTCTGGTGAGACATTTATTATGGTGATTTTTATAAAATGTAGCTAAGGGCATATTTTAGCCTCTTCCCGGGAGTACCCATCATGTACAAGACTTTCAGACCTGCTGCATTTGCAGATGCCTTGTAGTTTCCTTTTCATCATCCTGTCAAAAGAAGTAGCAGTGTAGGCATTCTGGTCAGTGAGCTACTGAACACTAAAATAGCTCATTTTGAGTTACAAATACCATCAATAACAACGACAGTTGTGGTGTAACAACACACGCATGCACAATGACGTTATGATGGGATGTTTTCAAATGCTGGAGACCATGATGTTCAAAGGGAGATTTATTTATTTATTTTCCCTTCTTGTAAATGCCACGTCTCAGAGCGTCCTGAATCCTGTGCGTGTGTGTGTGTGTGTGTGTGTGTGTGTGTGGTTTGGAAAATCTCGTCCGCAGACACGCTCCAGTAGCAGACATGTTCCACCTTGGCTAACCGAAAATGACACGTATGCCGGCTTCGGAAAACTTGATACATATTTTATGTGTTCCCTATAAAGCTGTTATATAATAATGGGTGTTCAGAATAAACCTTTGTCAGAGCTCAGACATGACAAGGGGTGACTTCTCCCATTTTGTGCATGTTCTAGCTTTATGTTGTTTATGCAGGGTCAGTGATGGCTGCCAGGGGAAGCATGCCAAAGATGGCAATCGTGGGCTGCTTCTGAGTGACAATGTCAGGCTGAGCTGTGCACTCACATACGGTTTTTCTGGATCATTTTTATGTAAATGGCGTGGCGGAAAGATTAATGCATGTCATGACTCATTCTAATTGCTTTTTGTTAAAGTGTACACATATAAAAATAAACAAATGATTGTTTTGACTAAGAAAACCTCCAGGAAGAGCAGCGCCTCAGTTTTAAGTCTTCTGGTTACAATTTATGTCGCTGTTGTCAGCTGCTGAGTGACATGTTGCAGGCACGCTGACATTTCAGCGCAGTTGCCCCCCATTCTTCCCCTATTCTTCCATCAGTATCTGCTCAGCTGAGCAGATTCTGATGGAAGAGCATTTTTGGTGTACTGTTAGTGAAAACAGTATGCATATTAACCTAGGGAGGTTCAAATTCTTTATTAAGCATTCACAGGACGCCACATTGCTGGATGTGTGAACTGTGTTGAACATCTGGCAGCTGTGGAGGTCTCTTGCTGGCAGGTATGTGGCTGAAGCAATGGACTGTGTTTTAAGTTAAACAGTATCACCAGTTTCTGGGAAAAGAACACAAACTCTGAACCCCACATGTGCAGTAGCACTGGGACAATGCATTATAAGAGAGAACTGTATAACAAAAGCACAACTGTTTCACTATTTTTTTGTGTTTCACGTGGAAACCTTAGCTGTTTGTGGAAAAGGTCAGTTTGCTGACTTGACAGGCTTCAGCTAGGATTATGTTAAGACCCTACTAGGAGGAAAGCTCAGCCTTGTTTTAATCTGGACTGATAACACTGCAAGATTAAGAGGGTTAAAATTTCCATGAGTTTTTGTTCACCAGTGTTAACGTACACAGTTTTCACTGCAACTTTGTAAACTGTTGTAAGCAGTTTATTCCTTTCTGGCTAAAGGTGTGTTGTAGTTAAGCGAATTCTTAAATGAATGACAACTACCATACATGTATCATAGTGAAGCACCTTGTCGTACGGTACAATTTTCAAGTTTGTGTCAAGAGAAAGGAAAAGAAAGCCCTGGCTTTACTCTGCCTTTCATTTTACTGCTGGCTATTGTGACAAGCTGATTGTGGTGACAGCTTTCGGGAATGGCATGAGCAGATGCTCAGTCGGTCATATCAGATGTGACTTTGACTGTGGCAAGTGAAAGAAGGACTTTGGTGATTCTGAGTTTGACCATGTAAAATAAATGTCTGCAAACTAAAGACTGTCACTGGCAAACTATCTGCTTTATTGTACATGGTATGGTGTAAGTTAGTTCAGTGTAGTCAGTCAGTCATCAATCATATAGTTTCAGCAGAATGTGGATAAAGAAAAGAAACTTGTAAATCTTTTAACCTCAGGCAGCCTGGAAGATGAAAGTAACAAATCATGTCTTACTTTCTTATGCATGATCTGAATCACTGTTTCTATTTTGGGTGTTGCTGGATTTTGGTCCATGATTAAAGTATATTTTTGATCCACATTTCCCCTCCTACCTGTTCTAATAACCCAGTTCACAAGGCTGTTGAACCATCACAGACAACTGCCCACACTTAGACTCATCACGGTGCTGCAGCATGCAGGGCAAACGTTTTCATTTTTCTATAGGAGTTTCTGTTCACCTCAAACAACCGTGTCAGTTGCATAACAGCTGCATAACTACAGCAGCAGGTTGTTTTAGTGCGCTTAAGGGATTTCACAGCTGAACATACCGCACTGCTCATAATCCTTCAGGGCTGTGTATACTTTTGTTTGTTGTAATTCAGATAAATTAAATCATTTATGTCAAAGAGGCAACATGATGTGGCATGTCTACATGAAATGTCGTTTAAAAAAAGTGAGTGAGGTCAACTAATTACTAAATAATACAGTATGTTACTTAATTACTTCTTGGAGAAAGTAATTTGCTACACTACCCGTTACATTACTTTCAGTTTACTTCATAAGATGCCACATAATTGCCAGTTAACAATATAAACCGTAGGCTGCAGTCCCACATGCTACACAAATCTCTATCCTAATGAGGGCACACATCCATTCTTTCTTTTAGTGTATATGTATGAACACTGCAAAGCTGAAAACCAGTTCAACACAATTACAAAGTGATTGTCACTGTAATTCTACTATAGAAAGATGTACAGGTAGAAATGCAGGCCACAATGCTGCAAACCGAACTTACTGCCTTTGTGATTTGTTCAAGTTCGGGGTCAGGCTGCTGGGTTGAAGTCAACATAGACTCAGCTTTGTCATCACTCCGGGTTATTGGCTTGCTTTGTGTTAGCATGCTGTCTGTGTGGATATTTGGAGCCGATGCTCTTTCTCAGCATCTGCAATGTAATGTAGCTGTTTCTATTCTGGATGCAGCTTGCACTTTACCATCATGCGCCTGTTCCCCCTTTTTTGTCCTCCTCCATGCGCAGGAACCGAAATCAGCTCATAATAGCTCAAGTGCGCAGAAAATTACAGAAATTAGAGCCCTATTTTATACATGGCACTTGCAGTATCTGTAAGAACTGCTGCTGACAGTTGCATCCAACAATCACTTTCATCTTAAGCTTGTAATCAGTCCTCTGATCCCTTATTTGTAGCATCAGAAAGTTTTCCTGGATGCCCCCTAGGTAATTCCACTATAGGATCCAGTACACTGAAATGAATTTAGTTCAAAC